CCCCACACCAAAAATAGTGCCGACAGTTGTCATAACCATCATATTTAGCCAATAGGTGCCTCAAATGTCTTTTCGAAATTCGTCAAAATGAATTAACCCGTCAAGTAACTGTCACTGACACTTAAGCGCGGGGTTAAGTGCGGGGCCTCTGGCGCTTAGGCGCGACCTTCTCAGTTTCACCGGCGCTTAAACGCCAGATCTGGCGCTTAGGCGTCAAAATACTTTTGCACTATTTTTGCATTTTTGCTCTATATTTGATTCTTTTTCACTCATTTTGTTATTTTTCACATTTTTAGTTGTACATGAAGAAAAACACACAAATACATTCCATTAAAACGCAATATCTCAAAAATAAGAATAAAATGTGTATAAAAACACTATATATTTTAGGTATATCAGTACAAGTCTCAACTCTTGGAGCTCTAGCCGATAATCATAGGATAGAATTTCCTCCCTTTGACCTTAAAGTTACCGAGATTCCCGTGGACGACGCAATTCACAAATTGATGACTGGGGATCTCAGAAAGTGTTGGGTCGACTACCTTCAAGACCGGGTAGACTTAGGGTCATAGTAGTTGTGGATAATGAGTCTGTGGTATCCCGACCCAATTGCTTCTACCTTTCAGGATCACTTTATCATCCTTTTGTTAAGCCCTATCACTCATTGTCTTCGTTGATATCACATTGACGACCCGATACTGATGAGTTGTCACCCATTTGAGATACGACGATTTGTCCTCAGCCCTTATGGCCCAGACGTGTTTTGACATGTTGAGATATCCCCGTCAAGATGATTTAGGTTATTCCGTGCGCTTCGTATGTCGATGAGCCGCTACCCATTCGGGATGTGAGAGACTCACTCTCTGCCCGATGGCTTAGCATGAGTTTTGAAGCATCGAGACTTCTCACGCACGGAATAACCTTCCTTTCAGTATTTATACCCCAGGTTTATGATAATATAAAACAAAACTCTTTTATCGAAAGTATTCTTTGGTATCCCAAAAGATGTAATTGACCAGTAGGAATATGTTTCTCTGGGAGCGCTCTGGACCCAGAACAGGTACATACACCTGACTCTCTGATTATTGGTAGTTTACGTAGATACTTCTTTTGGAAATATAGGTCCAAGATGCCTCCACCCGATCTTGTTTAGATGAACATACTTAACATATCATTGCAAAGTTTGTCGCACGTAGATTCTCCACGTTTTATTTTTTCTCTTGTTTGTCGTTTTGTCATATGTCCCTTCATATTCAGTTTCTCTCATCTTCAAATCACTGATTTGATTATGGAAGAAGATTTATTCGAATAAGAGAAGTATACGATAATCGACAAGCTCGCCGACTCTTTTTAAAATAAAAAAAAATGAAAAATGAACAAAAACAGTAGTATGATCATCTAAAAAGTGTCACTTTCTGACACAAAAGACGTAACATCATATCAACAACTAACATTGAAATGAATCCAGCCAGATACCGGCTATCTTGAACTAGCCCAACTCACAATCGTTCACTTAGGTATGGAGTTTTATGGGATGATTTATTTCTATAGAAAATTTATTAAAAAATTTAGTTTCGTAATAACACCATTCATTAAGCTTCACGACTTAAAAAGATTTTCTTGCTCAAGGAAAGCATGTAGTACATTTGATATGTTGACGCAGTTGTAACTCAAGCTCATATCTTCATTCTTTTGAATTTTAATCGGGTGTTTGAGATTGCACATGATGTCTATAAGGCCAGCATTACAGTTGTGTTGAGTCATGATCGTTAATGACAAGTTGAATTATTTGAGTCAAAAATAGGTTGTGAAAGCCATTAGTCATTTAAGTCACCATTTGTCAGTCACTTAGCTCACCCTTTGCACTGATCATGAAGTCCTAAGATTTTGAATTGCCAGAGTAAGCTGGAGGGTAAACACGTCTCTAGAGTTAAGTTATTCTCTATTTTTTTTTATGCTCAAGCACAAATCTGGGAGCTAAAATAAAGTTGTTGGTGCATTGAGCAACCGCCACTTATTAATCACTACTAAACAATCAACAATAGTTGGGTTTGAAGTGTTTAAGGACTTATATTTCATTGATGAAAATGTTCAGATAATTTAAGCCCACTTTTAAGAAGAACTCTATGAACAATACCACATATCTGATAACTACCTATTCCTACAGAATAGGTTGTGCACTCTTATAATTTCATTTGAAAGGAATATTTTGCTAATGTGCCATAATAAAAGATGATATGATATGTTGGCAACAATAAGTTTAGTGAAAGAAAATTTGTATTAGCCCGAACTAGTAGGAGACATGAAGCGACAAGTCAAACATAGCGGGATTTATCATTTAACCAAAACTCGAGAGCAAAAAATGGGTCTCTATAATCCCCTTCCTGTTCCAAAGCTGCATTGGATGGATATGAGTGTGGACTTCATTATGAGTTTGCCCCCGATTTAACCAAGTAAAATTCTATCATGGTGGTTGTGGATCATTTCTCCAATGCGACACATTTTACACCTTACCATGAGAAATTAAATGCCTCACTTGTTGTCAATCCTTACTTCAGTGAGATGGTCTGCCTTCATAGCATAACCAAAATTTCACATAAAAATGTGAAGTCTCCAAGTCATTTCTAGATGACATTATGAGATAAGTTGAGTACAAAGCTCCAACTCAACAACTCACCCTTGAACAGATAAACATAAGGAAAGGATGAATCTCAATTCGAAAAATTTCATCGGATAATTTGTTGGCAATAACATCAGACAGTGGTATCAAATCCTTTATCTAGTTGCATTTGCTTATAGCATGTTCACTAGAAAGTCAAAAGGCCATGTAACCCCTTTGAATTGTTTATGGATGGAATAATGTTATACCTTTTGATGTTAGTGTTTATATTTCTAACAACTAATCTTAGTATTGAAGCCAAGACTAGAAATTGAAAATTCAGACATTACATAAGCAGAAGAAAAAAAAGTATAATTCAAAATATCAAGTACCGAAAACAAACTTTCAAATACTATTGTTGTGTGCTTGTAAATTCGCAGCGATACATAGGTAAAAAGAAACTGACAAAAATTACAACAAAAACTATGAACGAATCTCAAAGAACAAAAAATCACGAGGTCTGACTCAGTTAAAAAAATTTCATTGTGCCGATCTAAGTTACAAGGCTTTACCGGCCCTTGAATAGCCAGAACCAATATCACACAAATAGAATGTAATTTTCACAAGGAAAGCCACAGAAAATATTAAGTGGCGGTAACCCAACTGTTGTGAAGAAAACAGACAGTAGGGATAATGGGCCAAAAACTTGTCAGTGTATTTGATAATGGCGGTCAGACGACGCTAACCGGGAAGCATCAATGATAGTCCGGTAGTGGTCGCGGCTCGACAACGATGGTCAAGCAACGGTGGTCCAATTGTGGCAATAGCTTAACTGCAATGATTGATAAAATTGGTCCGATAAGGGTGGTCGTCGGGCGGTGGTGGTTTGGAGGTATTGACGCAAGATGGAAGTGGCCAAAAACAGTGGTCCGACAGTGACAGGGACTCGAGAGTGGCAGTCAAGTAGCGACAGTACGACGGTGGAGGCGGCAATTCGATCGTGGCAAAGAAGTGGTGACGGTGGTTCAACAGTAATGGCGACTCGATGGATGTCGCCGGAGAACGACAGTTTCACTATCGCGATGATTGTTCGACAATGACCGGGTAGCGACAACGAATGTCAAGCGGTGGCAGTGGCTTGATAACAGTGAACGGGTAACGGTGGTTCGACAATGGTGGCGGTTGATCGGTGGTGATCCGGAGATGGTGAAGCTTAGAAACACTCAAGAGCTTGAAACCCTTCAGCTTTCTCCTCCAGGCCCAGGTCTCAAGTCCCCCCTTTCATAAAGGAAGTAGAGGTCTATCTATAGATTTTTATGAATGGTATATTCTATAAATATCGTAAGAATCAGGGCCACTCAATCGAAATAAGAAGTCACTTGCATGTTCATTTGAAAAGTTGAACCCAAAATTGTAAATTCAAAGTTATTCAAAAAATCAATAATAATGCATGCATAATTGATCTACATAGGGATTACAACATTTATTTTACATTAAAATAACATCTATTTTTTCATCATACTACGAAAATCTAAATGTTTTCGGTGATAACATCAAAGCCTCTCGTACCAAAGGAGAATGACAATCCTCAGTTCTACATTGGCATAACCCAACATAATTGGTTAGTTTTTTCTACCCCCAAGTGCCCAATCAGGCTCTCTAGGGCTGCTATTTGCTTGCTTTAATTAGAATTAGAGTTACTTAGGTTATTTTAGTATGAATAACAACTTTAGAGATTGTATTAAGATTTTTACTTATTTTATATCGTTGGATGCTTTCTCTAGTTTTTCTCCTCTTGGAGTGTTGTGTCGTGTATATATATATATATATAAGATATATATATATATAGATATATATATATATCAACAATGTACAGCACGTATAACATTGAGGATGATCTGCCGCTTGTTCAAGACTAAGTTACAGCCACACTACCCGATAAATAAATAAATATATATATAATGTTTTCTTCTTTTCTTCTTTTTTTTTTCTGTTTTTTCCCCCAAACAGTTGCTGCTGCCCTAATACCTCACAACATTCTACACCTCTTCCTTGACGCTATACCCTATCTAGGAAGCCTACATTAGTGGCACATTCAATCCCATGCCCTATTCCCCGTCTAGAGCAACCTAAAATGGCAAATGGAATAAGCCAGAGTGGCGCATAAAATAGTGCAAAACAAGCGATCGATCAATTGTATAAGATTCCATATTCAATTTTACTAGCTCAGTTAACATGTTCTGCAGCCCTGACAAAGCAACACAATAATGAAGATCTTTAAAATACATTGAACCATAACAGGGCAGGCGCCGATCACCCCGCGTAGCTGAAGAGAACTAGGGTTTTTCTTTTAATATACTCTGTCGTGTCGATTAAAGATTGATATTGGAATGTGATAAAGAAGGGATAAAAAATAACCTTATAGGTTTTCATGGCGGAATCGAAAGCATTGATGAGAGCGGAATCGTCCCATAGCTCTGTTCCCTTCCCCATTTTTCCTTTCCCTCGGCGAAGGCTTCGATCCAGATGACGAATGATAAGTAGGGTGATAGAGAGCGGAACTCGCGCGAGGGATTTTGATGTAGTAAATTAAATTGGATTTAAAATTTGGTGTTAAAACATTAATATAATATTTCAATCACCTAAACTCTTAAAATCTATGTTTTAATTATCAAAGATTTTAAATATAATATTTTAATCATTCAAAATTTTCACTCAAAGCCTTCATAATGAGTAAAATTTTAATGAAAAATATGATTAAAATATAATATTTAAAGTTTTGACGGTTAATATATTATATTGAATATTTTGAATTATTAGTATATAAAAACACCAATATTTGATTTTGCTAATATAAATATTTTGTTGTCCAGTTTTTCATTCATCGTTTTGATCTTATATCTTTTATATATATATATATATATGTCGTCGGACTGATGATTAACATCCACGATATAAGACCCATCTGATCGGGGGTTTGATTCTCCTTTGACACAGTTAGCCTTAAGGATGAGGTACTTTAATTGTTAGACACATTATATGTGATCGTAGACTAATATGATAACCTCTGGTTATTATATATATATATATATATATATATATATATAATCATGAAAAAACATACATTATATGTCTTATAATGTTGAAAATTCATCAAATATGATTGCTCCGTGCCATAAAATTCACGCATAATAATTTAACGTTTCTACATGGTATAAAAATTAGCACGCATAAAAATAATGATAATATAACAATTGAAGGCGTCGTGTATCTTTGCATTAAAAAATTTGGAAAGACAAAAAAATATGTGGCATAGCCTTAAAAAATCTTACATAACTTTCAAATAAAATGACACCATTCAATTTAATTATAAGAATTACATTCTTGAAATGTAAGTTCATGAAAAAATCATTTATATTTATATATCTAATGCCTAAACTTTAATCTATGCATTCATAACATTTTGAAGTTATAAATTATTTTCAAAAATATGTATCTAATGTTATAAATTATTCATAAAAATATGTATCTAACTTTCAATAAGCCAATAATAATGATATTTTTGATATAATATTAAATATTAAGGTGATATTTATCATAAATTATACGTCTCATAAATAAAATTCAAAGAAATAGTTTGTTTAAGCGAAAATATCTCCACAAATTAACAGTGATGATCTTCTTAGTCCGGCTTGGAAGCGTATATGCCGTCCGATGATGAAGTCTGTGGGCCCCATCGTTTTTCTTGGGCCCCGGTTGCTTCCCTGCTGACGATCTCCGCCACACTACTCGTCATCGAGGGTTTGGGGTTTGCTCCGCGACTGTGCCTGACACGAGGAAGGTGGCGATTCACTGAAGTACCCAGTTTCGAATCACTGGAGGTATGCCGCGAGCTTCTCTCTTTCAACTACGTCGCTTTTCCTAGCTCGGTTTCGATTCTCTTTTCTGAATCTATATATTTTTTCGATCGAGGATTAGCGGGCAGTATTTTCTGGTAAGTTTTGGTCGGATCGGTAGTCCTTTATTTTAATATACTTGATCTGCTCTGTTAATTGGGTGCTGATTTTGATTGGGATGATTTTGGTTAATGTGAGCCTGCTGAGGTATATGTCTTTATTTCATTGTTGGGGTTGGTTCGGGTTAGGGCAACTGAGCAGTTGGTTCAATCGAAGCGGGCTTTCTTGCTGCATGTGTGCTTCATATGCGGTTCGGAGTGTTGACAAAAGTCTGTGACAGGGCATGCATTTGTTTTTCTGTTTGATCTCTTAATGGGATTGGTTGGCTGCAATTAGGATCTTACTCAAGCCAGATCTAGTAAATGTTGTAAATCTTTATTTACTAAATCTTAAATGGGTTAAATGCTAATAATTATTTGGTGTGATAGGTGTTAAATCTGCCTGATTCCTGTTAAATTTAGTTAAATCCATGTGAACTGTTTGACAACTTATATTTGAATGTAAGGATTTATATGATTGAGGTATCATATTATATTGACTTATATCAATCTTAATTAGGCCAATGAATTCGTATTTACCTAATATCGAAGCCAATGATTGATTAGTAATTCACTAAACTAAAAAGTATTTAGTATATTAAATAAAAATTAATTAAAACAAGATAAAATATTTTGATAACTGACATTAATTAATATGGTTAAATTAATTGCTCAAGTCACACACACATTAAAACTTGTTTGGTTGTATTTTTATGATATTTATTAAGAAAAGCTATTACCAATTATAAATTATGAATTAAATTATAACTTTTTTGAGTTTAATGTCCTAGCTAATCATCAAATTGTAGTTTATAAAACTTAAAAATATTAAAATTCTATTTAAATTAAATGATAAATAACATTGACTTATTTAATTAATAATTTTTAGTTAAGTAATATTAATTAACAATATGAATTTATGTTTTTAATAAATATATTTTCTTTGATGATTGTTAACCCTTGATCGTAAAGAAGCCACGAGCCGTGATGGGAATTTGTTGGAGAGGGCATCAACGGGAGTAATGGTGTATGAAGGAGTGGAGTTCGTGAGACTTGCAGATTTACTAAATTATGTCCTTGCAAGGATCTGCTAAATATGGGATTCAAGTCAAAAAGTGGGAGAAATGGATTTAAGACTACATAGTATTTAAAGTGGTCTTTTTGACCTTTTGGCAGGATTTATGCAAAATCTTGCCTTAATATTATGTAAATTCTACTACAAAATAGATCCTAAACGTAACTTTTTTTTATTAGTGTTATATTGGTGATTTTTCTATTTTATTTTTTTAATAGCGGTATAAGGTTATTAGAAGTAGCGGCAAGTCGTGCATATTTGAAGGTTTAAGAATGGATTGCCTTGGATGACATTGTTTGTAAATTTAATAACGTTTGAAGATTTAGGACTTCAAAATGCACGATTGAAAGAGGTGTTCAGTATTATTATTATAATTTCCATGCTTCTCTCTATTGTTTGTATCATATTCTTTTATTCCTAATATTTTATTTCTTGTAACATGCTAGTTGTGTTGTTGATAATTGTCATTACTTTGGATTGTTCTGGATGTGTATGTTATATTTGTATTAAAGTTGGGTTCGTTTGGTGGTCTCAATTTACATTTTTAAAGGTGATACTGGTTTACTCGTTGTACTTGGTATGCTAATTTTATTTTACCCATACTATTGTTTTTCAATGTTTTTTCAAGCATGATGTTACTGCCATGTCTTTAAGGTAGTCCAATCATTAGAGGTTTTAGTTTCTCTAAATTACCTTGTATTGTTCTTACATCAAGAATTTGTGTGAAGATTTGTTATAATTTTAGTGGGCTAAGTTATTTATTTGTCAACTAATTTTGTTGCGGGGTGTTAGGTTTGATGATTTGTGAATAATACTTTCTAGGAAATGTAGATAAAGTTTGATTAAAATATTCTTGAGCATTTACTAAAATTATTATTTTTTAATATTAACTTCAAATTGAATTTTTTATCAAAGAAATAAAGTTTTGATGAATATGATTGACATTGCATTTTTGTTTAATAGGATGAATGCATTGCTCTTTGCGTGCAGTTTTTAATGAACGGAGAAAAGTGTCACAATGGCCCCTCGATTATTTAAAGGGGGTTGTTTTAGTCCCTGACTTTTAAAAAATGTCAAATTAGTCCCCAATTATTTTAAGAGGGCTTGAAGTTGTCTCATAGTTAAATAAAATTGAAATTGGGATTTAGGGTGTTAAAAATGGGGGTATTTTGGAATTAAGCTTTTTTAGGAGGTCAAAATCCAAGAATATAGGTGTTAGATATGTATCAAATAATTATTTTTTTTAAAACACAACCAACACGATGAGATTTATTTAATTATGATTATTTAAAAAGTATCAAATAATCAAGATCATTAATGATTGTTACCTCCACTTCTCAAAGAACATTAACGTAATTTTAATAATAATTTTTATAATTATAACAACTTTTAAGTAACAATATATTAATTACGAAACTAAAGACATTTTTATTTCATATTAGTGTCAGCTAGTTATTTAAAAATATGCATAAACAATTTGCATGCCCGAATGAAGATACAATGAGTTGTGCACACCTTGTCTCGCAAGCCATGACATCCCCCTTGTTCATGCGAAAGCCTTAGACTCTTTGGTCGGTGGTATGCATGTAAACAATCAACTAACAAAATATTAAAACTCCAAAATACCCCTCTAACCTGTAGCTCCTCCGCTCATTTTAATCTTAGATTTTTTTTATAGGCTTTTTATCTACATAGCACTCAAAACATGAATATTTACATATTTCACACTCTAAACATAAAATTTACCTACTCCACATCTAATATATATCATACCTTACGGGAATAGCCTCCGGTTACCTCAGTCTACTCCTCCGTCTAATATCCGCATTTTGAGAGGGCAGAGGCATTGACGGGAGATGCCCAACAGACCCACCACAACTCATTTCCTCATGTTCTCCACCTCAGTCTACCAGCCACATCCCTCTCCCATTTTACCGCAGACCTTTTCGACCTTTCCGACCACCTTTGTAAGTTCCTGGAGCCAAAATGTAATACTGCTGCACACATACAGATGCCAAATGATTCAAATGGCATGAAATGAAATACTAATAGATGTCAAAGTTACAAAGGAGAAGAAGTTACACACTGCTTCTTAGAGTTAGTACCTCTAAGGGCTTCTGCAGGAAGAAATCAAAGAATAAACACCAGAGCAACGAATATCAAAAAGAGGACCAAGTTCTTCTTTCTCTCTGTCAAACTAACAAACAGTGAGATGCCATATGTCACCGCTTTCAGCTAAGGGCAATAAATCAAATGATGAAGAAGAATGCCTTAAATTTGCTAGCGATGTTGGCATATGATGTCGTGTTTCGATAAGTGGCCCGTTCTTTGGCCCTTTAACACTATTTTCACAAAGTTTTGAATCCAATTTGACCTATCACATTTTGCGATGGGTCTACTGGGTGTCGTGTGGAGTGGCGGCCTGGAAAGGCTTATCGACGGTTGTGAGCTCTAATCCCGTTGATGCCTTTGCCCTCTCAAACTACAAATTTTAGACGGGGAGGAGATGGAGGTAGCAGGATGTTATTCCGGTAAGTTATGATATATTTTTGATGTGGAATATGTAAATGTTATGTTTAGAGCATGGAATATGTAAATTTTCATGTATGGAGTGCTATGTAGGTAAAAAGCCATTGTTTTAACGGTGTGACTGCTGCAACCCCTCTTAAAATAGTTGGGGACTAATTTGACAATTTTTAAAAGTTTGGGACCCTTTAAATAGTTGTTGAACCATTTTGACACTTTTCTCGTAATGAATGTGACGATATTTTACCTTAAAAGAATGCCTAAACAGGCCTTCAAATATCAGATTAAATTATCATAAAACGAGTAGAGGATGTGAATTCACTTTTAGCAAATAGGAACTTTATAATGTTTAGTAATTTTGCGGTTTTCACAATAAAAATTTTCAAGGTTAATATTTTAAAAAATAATTGTTATCCGTGTAATACCCAACATGTGTTGGACACAGAAACGTGCGGCAAGCATTTGACACATGTTGACAAACATGTATAATAAAATGTTAGATTCTGATGATTTATATTGTGTCAAATAATTTATGTTTATTTTTTATATGCAAAATTCTAAAAAAAAATATTGATCATATTTCTTTCTTTTTGTTAAATTTTGATTACTTATTATTTTTAATGTACTTAATATTTTTTAATTTTTTTAATTTTTTCTCTACTTATTATGTTGATTTATGAATAACATAATAATTATTTATATTTTTTTATTCATATAATGTTAAGATTTTATTTATTTATTTATTTCATATTTATTTAATTTATGTGGTTTGTATGTATTTTTTAAAAATTTATAATATATATAATATTAATATTATAATGTTGTGTCAAAGACGTGTCCATATCCTATATTATAAAAAATAGGCGTATTTCATTTCTGTATCCCCTTGTCCGTATCGGTGCATCCTCGGATACGATATAACAAAAACTAAGTACTTGGAAAATTTGATTTTTTTATTATTTCAATCTCGAAAGAAATATTGATTATAATAAATTCAAAATAAAAAAAAAGTATTATCATTAATTTCCTCGTATGCCTTGTTCATTGTTCACTCCTCGCTTCCTATTGCAGCCATTAGGAGCAATCATGGCTCTTCTTTTGTTTGCACATGATTTTGTGCAATATGCATTTCCTTGTTTAGCACATGAATTTGTCTCATTACCTTCCCCAATTACTAATCCCATTGCGCTTTAAGTAGTCTCAAAATACATACATGTGTGTGTATGTGCGTGTATGTGTATGTTTGTCTGTGTCTGTCTATGATACTGTGTTTGTGTATGTCTGCTTGTTTATGTATATTATGTTTGTGTATTATGTATATATGTGTGCCTATATGTATGTGTCTATATATATGTGTATGCATGTATGCATATATGTGTGTGCATGTATGTAGGTGTGTATTTGTGTATATGTGTGTATGTATATATGTGTGTACGTGTGTGTGTGGATGTGTGTCTGTATATATATGAGGTTTGTAGCCTATACACACGCATGCACACTCATACATAGCGCACGCATATATGCGCATATATATATATATATATATATATATATATATATATATATATGGGCGCGCTATGTATGGGTGTGCATGCGTGTGTATGTGCATGGATGTATGTCAATATGTATCTTCATGTATGCATGTATGTAATGGGTCAGTTTTTTCTTTTAATATTTAGTGATGATTTTTCATTATGATCCAAGTATTATGTAGTGTTTGAATGATTCATATGTTTTATATTGAATTGCGGAGATTTTTATGGAAACCCAACACCTTTTCAAACCTTGTTCAAACCATATAGTTTGAATGATGTTGTATCATATTTGAATCTTGATCGAATATTGTATTAAGATGTTCAAACTTGGGTTGAAAACATGTTTAAACCATGCTTGTACATTATTTGTACATGGTTTGAACTTTTTTCGAACTTATGAACAATGTTAGAGCGCTTGTTTGAATCATGTCCAAACATTGTTCAGGTAAGGTTCGAAACAATGTTTGAACCATGCATGTTGCAACAGGCAGTGGTCTTGTGCTTATATTTGGAGCAATTTTTTTTCTAAAGGTGACTTATATTTGGAGCAATTTTTTTTTCTAAAGGTGAATTAAATATTAAATTTCATGTGCTGTATATAGAGCACATGTTCGAATCATGTTCAGGTAAGGTTTGAAACAATGTTTGAACCATGCATGTTGCAACAGGCAGTGGTCTTGTGCTTATATTTGGAGCAATTTTTTTTCTAAAGGTGACTTATATTTGGAGCAAAAATTTTTTTTTCTAAAGGTGAATTAAATATTAAATTTCATGTGCTGTATATAGTATAGAAAGAAGATAGCGAAGTCAGTTTGACATTTACTAAAATAAGGTTTGGAGGATTAATATTTCTAGAAGTATTTCTCTTGAAGGTTTTGTAGATCTTATAAACAAAGTTACGAAGACAGATAAGAACTAATATAGATTGAAGTTGTATGTAATGCAACGCATTAGTGGAGTAAAGTCCGTGATATCAATTTTTTTATGATGATAGCAACAAAAATTCATCTATCAACAATGATTTCTCATCTTTGTGTTTTCTATTCACATGTGATACAAAAGTAATTAAAGATTTCCACATGTAATACTAATGAGGATGGTGCAACTAGTCAGCTGTCAGCTTCCTTTGGCTTATGAGTTGATGAAAATGTGTTGTGTGGTTGTTTTATGGATGTTTCAATCGACGCTGGGCTCTAGGGTTCGAATCGGTGGAAGCAAATGACCGGTCCGGCCTTCTTGCTGGACCAGATCGACCAGAACCAGTTCTGCCTCTTCTTCATCTATTGCTCTAAATTCTCCCCTTCCTAATTCTTCCCTTCCTACTGGGGTTGCATTTCAAAATCCTGTGTTTTCCTTTCCATCCTTCTTTAATCTTTGCACTATTTTATTTATAATTGTTGTGTTGAATGCTAACCTGTTTTTGATCCATCTCTGATTTCAGGTGTGCCTCTAAGGTGTTCCCTCTTCGAGGGCTATATCCGACGACTAGTGGTGCTTCGGCTGTTCCTCGTCTAAGGTGGCGTTTATTTGCGATCAGTCACTTACTTTATTTTAGTTGTAGTCTCAACTCATAGTGCGGCCCCGGGTGAGTCGACCTGGCATGCTCCTCTTTGAATGTCGCACGTCCCGCCGACGGCCCTCCCATGCATAGATAGGCAGCTTGTTTCCTTCCCTACTCACCTCAATCACTTGTAGATTCTGCCAGCGCCCCAACCCCTCACAAATCCCACCCGCGCTCGTTCTCTACACAGACCAACCGCTCGACCTATCTGTTGTTCGTCCAGTCGCTTGCAGCTCCCATCGACCATCCTGTGGTTGTTGTCCCCCCTTCTCGAGCACACCCTAGTGGGTCGATCACCTCCCTGTAGCTCCTCAGTCACCATCGACTCTTCCTACCGCCACCAGTAAGTCGCCCGCCCGCCTGAGTATGTCTTCTCGATAGAATGGGCTTTTTTTGTCTGTTATTATTTATATTTGCTTTTTATTTCGACATTCGTCTTGTTATCTATTGTTATTTGCACCGCATTGTTGTTTTTGTGTCATCCTTATACTATTTTGAAATCAACAATAAAATATGTGTCGTTTGAGTCGTGCTTGGGTTAACTCCGGTATCATTTGGTATCAGAGAGCCTTTCCCTCTATCTTCAAGTCGTGGCTTGAGTTTCACATTCACTTTTCTTCTAGTGTACGTGTAGAGGTGCACTTACTGACTTAACTCTTATTGACCCTAAAATTGAGCAGACTTTTAGATGTTGTAGGAAAGCGCTCATTGAACCTGAAACATCTGTAGGAACGACTCACCATTTGGACCCAACCATGAGCCCTCTTAGGGATTTTACCAACCCCACTGCTGAGGAGATTTACATGAGTATCAATTACACTGCAGTAAAAGCCAATACCTTTGAACTAAGACCTGTCATGATTCAAATGATTCAACAAAACTAGTATTTTTTTAGGGGGGAGGGGGACCCACGGAAGAACCAAATTTGCACTTAACAAAATTCCAAGAATTGTGTGTCACATTCAAGTATAATGATGTCCCAAATGACCTTGTTAGACTAAGACTTTTTCCCTTTTCCCTTAGGGATAAAGCCAAAGTGTGGTTGAACTCTTTAGTTTCAGGATCTATCAGCACTTTGAATGATTTAACTAAAAAATTCTTAGCCAAGTATTTTCCTTCTTCCAAGGCTGTCAAACTTATAAATGACATCACATCATTCTCAAAATTCGAGGGGGATACCATTTATGAGACCTGTGAGGGACTTAAAAAGTTACTTAGGAAGTGTCCCCATTATGCCTTGCCCAACTGGCTAATTGTCCAAACCTTCTATAGGTTTTAAGTGATTATGTATTCGAGACTGTTACATTTAGACTTCCTTCATATTATAGATAATTACCTGCTTGAAATGTATGGATTTCAGTTGATTTCTATTACAATACATATTATACTACTATGTTATGGTACGTTTGACTATGATTATGAAATAAATGTCTGCAGGTATTCATTTGCTATGACTCATGCGAGTGTGTGTGATGTATGAAATGTCTATGAATGTATGTTACAAGTATAATGCTTTAGGAATTATCACAAGAAATGCTATGTGTAGACTATTACATGGTGTTTGTAAATATACTATTCAGGGATATATTATTCCCAACTCTTGATATTTATAACTGGGCTAAACTCTTGGAACCGTTGAGATTAGGCAGTGACAAAATGTTAGAGAACCGTGAGTATTAGGAGGCTATTGATAACTGCTATGTTGGGGGAAACCCAATATTTATCGATAGTTTATATGATCTTTGGGATAGGGTAAGGACCCATGATGAAAAGATGTGAAAATAATTGAACTTCATAAATTTATAAGTGACATTATTATGAAATGACATTACTAAAATGATATTATTATGATTATGCACGATAAATAGCTCGTGAACATGTCTATGAACATATTTTTTATTATATTTATTATTTCATGCTTATGACATAGATGTTTAAACTGCAATCTTGGTTTTTATACTAGCTGCATTCTTTTCGTGTTCTCTACTATGTTAACATATTATGACTTGTGTGTATACGTGGACAATTTCATACGAGCATGCACGTTGCTTTTTTTAATGTATAAAATATTGTGCTAACCTTGATTATTTCTTCGAGCTCGTTGTTGCTCACTCTATGTTGTTGCTTTTTAGGTAGGGGCAATAGGCACCGTGGCGAGTAGCCAGGTGTGACTTTATACATCTTTTGCACAATATTTTTGAGAGCTTGTACTTATGTTTTGGGTACGTACTTTTATTATATTAGATTAGCAGCTCTATGTAGTTTTCATGTTTCAGATGATATAATTCCATGCTTCCAGGTATTAATTATGAAATGCAATGTATTTTGCATGTTACGTCAATTTAGTTAGATTAGTTTATCACTTGTTTGATTCTGATTCTATAGGTCAGGACTAGTGTTTGTGAGAATTTAGTCTCACCGAATTGTCCGTCTATTGAGTTACAAGCTATAGTGATATTGATATCACAAGTGATCGATAAAATGACTGCTATCTAAATATTTTTCACCAGTACAGGGCCTAGACATAAAATTGGGGTAGAAGTTAGATCAATATTTGAGGATATTTCATTCTTTCAAGCCACCTGCATTCAAGTGTGTCAGTGACCGTATAGTTGTTGAAGATTCGAAAAATTTTGATTTGTATGATTTGTCCAGAAAAGAGAATAGGGTTAGCTACATCCATGCTAGGAGGCGAAACAGAGAGATGGTGGCATATTCAACATTAAGAAAAGTTTCAACTGACACCTCTTTCGCAGATTTAGTGAAAAGAATTTATTAAAGTTTTCAAAGATTGATTTATTCTGTGTTCAAACAGATTAGCTCTGCAAGAAAAAAAATTTCAATCTAACTCAGGGTTCGAGACAGTTATGCGATATGAGGTCAAATTCATTTCTCTTTTCAGATATGCACCTCATCATATAAGTACCCAGAAGGAAATAAGTCACAGATTTCTGCATGGCGTCAGTGATCAGTTGAGGCTGGCTTTGTCGCCATTTGAAATCAGCGATTTTTCAGTGCTAGTCGAAAGAACCAGAAAAATTGAAAAGGAGCTGAACTTCTCCAGTCAGCAGTGACAACTTTAAACAAGCAAGTGAAAGGATTTTGGCAAGGGGGAACACTTCCTATACAAGCAAATTAAATCATAAGGCGAGCATAAATAACATCATGTGGAAAAACAGAAAAATACATTTGGGCAATGTTTGATTAGTTCATGAAAATGTTACAAATGTGGTTAGTTAGGACATATTCAAATGAACTGTCTAAGGAAAAGAAGAGAGACAACAAACCATTAACAATTCAAAGACAGGGACAACTCAAAAAATTTTTTGAAGGCAGGCAGTTCAGTGGTACTCAGTTTTTGAGAAAGCCTTCAGTGCAAACACAAGTGTGAAAATTCAGAATATATAACCGAGCAACAAGTAAAAGCGCGAGTTTTTGCAATCACACTTTAAGAAGCCAAAGAATTTGAAGAAGTGGTTACAAGTACGTTTTTTATTTTAGATCAACCTGATACTATTCTATTCGATTCAGCCGCATCACATTTGTTTATTTATGATGACTGATAAGTTTGCTGTCAGTTTACATGTTGATTTTTTACAATTTTCCCCGCTCTTTGTTATTATGCTATTGAAAGTGGGTTTTATGTCAATAGAAAATTTGTAGTGCATGTTTATGTTCATGATAAAAAGTTGTCAACAGAATTGATTATCATACTAATTCAGACTTTTGATGTTATTTTGGGGGTGGATTGGTTGATGAATGAATTTTGCTACAATTGAATGCTCGAGAAGGCGGGTGAAACTCAAATCGCTTAGTAAAAAATCGTTTTATATTTTCTGTGATTGAAATGCACAATCTTTCCTGATTAGTGTGATAAAAGTTGGGAAATATTTGCGAAGTGATTAATTGATTTTTTTGGCCAAATCAGAAGTGTTGAATAAAGATGTACAATAATTGAAGAACATTCCGACGATTTCAAAATAATAGTTGAAGAGTTGATTATCATATCAATTCAGACTTTTGATGTTATTTTGGGAATGGATTGGTTGGTGAATCAATTTTGCTACAACTGAATGCTCGAGAAGGCGGGTGAAACTCAAATCGCTTAGTAAAAAATCGTTTATATTTTCTGTGATTGAAATGCACAATCTTTCCTGATTAGTGTGATAAAAGTTGGGAAATATTTGCGAAGTGGTTAATTGATATTTTTGGCCAAATTAGAAGTGTTGAATAAAGATGCACAATAATTGAAGAACATTTCGGCGATTTCAAAATTTTCAAACATATTTCCTGAAGAATTGTCAGGACTACCGCCAGAATGAAAAGTTGAATTTGATATTGATGTGTAATTAGGAATGTTTGTAATATATAAGTCTCCTTACATGATAGCTCTGAAGGAATTACTGAATTGAAATGTCAGTTGCAATAACTGATAGTTAAGCATTTTTTCAGGCCAAGTATCTTACTTTGGAGTGCTCCAGTATTGTTCGTCAAGAATGATGGATCTATACGGTTATACATTGATCACAAAGAGTTGAACAATGTAATAATCAAGAACAATTATCATTTGTTCAGGATTGATGATTTATTTGATAAGTTAGAGGGTGCACTGTATTTTTCCGAATTGATCTCAGATTGGAATATCATCAGATCAAAGTCAACGACGCAGATAAGACAACTTTCGGGACCAGGTATGACCATTTGAAATCTTAGTTATGCCTTCTGGCTTAACTAATGCTCCAACAATTTTTATGGACCTGATGAATCGAATCTTCATCCTGTATGTAAATCAGTTATTATTTTTATTGATGATATTTTGATATGTTCTAGAACTAATGATGATCATGCTAAGCATCTGAGGATTGTATTGAAACTGTTAAGCCAGAATCAATTATATGCAAATTTTTTTAAATATGAATTTTGACTGCGAAACATTGCATTTTTGTGACACATCAGCGGTCAAGGAATCTCAGTAGATCTTCAGAAGGTGAAAACAATGGTGGAATGACCCGCTCCAAAAAATGTTATAGAGGTAGACAATTTTCTTTGACCTAGCTGGATATTACCTGAGATTCGTAAAAGATTTTTCACAAGTAACTATGCCATTATCTAAGTTGATTAAAATAGATGTCTAGTTTGAGTGGACTGTAAAATGTGAGTACAGTTTCAAAATCTGAAGAAACATTTGACCACTGCTACAGTGTTAGTTCTTCAATCAGGCACAGGAGTATTCCCGATTTACAGTGATGCTTCATTAAGAGGTTTGGATTGCATTCTAATGCAAAATAAATAGGTGATAACCTATGCATCCAGGTAGTTGAAACCACATGAAAGGATCTATCCGACGCACGACTTTAAATTAGTTGTTGTAATGTTTGCTTTCAAGACTTAGCGACTTTATTTGTATGACGTGAAATGTGATGTATTCACTGATCATCAGAGTCTGATGTATATTTTCACACAAAAAGAGTTGAATCCGAGGTAGTAAAGATGGTTAGAGTCTATCAAAGACTGCTATTTGGATATATTGTATTGTCTGAGCCTAGCAAATATAGTTGCCGATGCATTGAGCCGTAAATTCACAGGTAGTGCAAGCTGGATTATCACTCATAGGCTAGAGTTGATTAAAGAAATTGATGTCTTATATTTGGAAGTCAGAAGATCAGGTGATATGGGGTATTTACATCAATTGACAGTGCAGCCAACGTTGATGAATAGAATCAATGCAGCTCAGAAAGTTAATAGTGAGTATATGAAATTCTTGAAGTAATGCAATTAGGAAAAATGACTGATTTTACTGTTGATGAAGATGGTGTTATCAGAAGCAAGCTATAATTATGTGTATTCATTGATTTTGATATGTGACAGGAAAATTTATATAAAGCTCATTGTTCAGGCTATACAATTCATCCGGGCAATATAAAAATGTACAAAGATTTGAAGTTGGCATTTTGATGGCCAGGTATAAAAAAAGATGTTGCTAAATATGTATTTAAATGTCAAACTTGTCTGATTGTAAATATTGAGTATCAGAGACCCAAAAAATTGCTACAATCATTACTGATACCTGAATGAAATTAAGAAGAAATTGCTATGGATTTTGTTATAGAATTTTCTCAATCCAGACTGGGTCACGATAGTATTTGGATCATTATTGACAGACTAACAAAATTCACTTATTTATTGCCAATCGGGTAGATAAATTCAATGAAAAAGCTGGACATATTGTATGTAAAAGAAATTATCAGGTTGCACGGTATTCCCAAAGTTATAGTGTCTGAGAGAGATGGAAATTCACATCCAGGTTATGGAAAGACATTCAACCAAAGTTTGGGTACGCGGTTGCATTTCAACCCTGCATTTCATCCATCAACTGACGGGCAATCAGAAAGAACAATTTAAGTATTGAAAGATTTATTGCAATTTTTTGTTTTGGTCTTTGGAGGCAATTGAGAAGATCATATTCTAATGATTGAGTTCATTAATAACAATAGCTATCAATTCAATATCAAAATGGCTCCTTACGAAGCACTATACGATAAAAAATGCTAAACTCCATTGAGTTGGTTTAAAGTGGGTGAATGTCAGATGTTAGACCCGGAGTTAGTTGATGAAGCCACAAAGAAAATTAGATAATCAGAGACATGTTGAAAGTGATTCCGGATCGACATCAAAAATATTGCGACCCAAAGCACAAAGCAATCAAATTTGAAGTTGGAGATTACGTATTTTTGAAAGTCAGTCTAATGAAAGGTATAACCCGATTTGGTCAAGGAAATGAGTTGAGTCCCATGTACATTGATATTTTTGAAATTATAGAAAAGATTGGACTAGTTGTCTAAATATTAGCATTGCCTATGTATATGTCAGATATTCACGATGTATTCCACCTTTCAGTGCTGAGGAAATGAGTTTCAAATTCAGAGCAGAAGATTTCACATGAAGATATCGAAGTACAAAAAAATCTAACTTGTTGAAGAGCTTGAAAACATTATAGCAATTATTGTTAAGAAGTCGAGGAACAAACAATTCCATTTGTCAAGATAAAGTGGAAGTAAATGCCTAAAAAGGAAGCTACATGGGAAAAGAAGAAAAAATGAGACATAAATATCCCTCTACCTTCAAGTAAAATTCTGAGTACTAATTTTTTATTAGGGGAGAGTTGTAACCCAAATTCATGAAATCACGTAAATAATTTTATAACTAAAAGTACCTATAATTT